CAATTTCCCCCTGTAGAGTTTTTGGGGGGGGGGCGGGGGGGGGTTATATGATTTCACGAGTCTGTAAGAGTAAGTAAACACTCCATGTTTTCTGTTCGATTCCCACCACCAACTATGTGGCCATCATGTCTGCATACTCAGAAGTTTAAGGTACAATTGAACTGTAGCTTTAGCTTATTAAAAAAAAAAAAAGCAACGTGTGACTATTGGAAGAGCCAATTGTTCCTCATCACCATTTTTAAATTTTTTTTAATGAACTCATAAATTAAACAAAAACAAAGTGCTTCTTGGGTGATCAACACTCATGTTCTGAAAAGGAACTAAATAAAATGTGACTTTCTACTGTGCTACTAGACAGGATACGGACCTTGATTTCATAGAAGGCTCTTATTCCTAAATCAATTGTTAGAAAAGGATGTTATTCTGCGATTTCTAAGACAGCTAACTGAGTTATATCTGGTATAATAAACTATTTTTAAGCCCCTTTGGTTTCAATCTAACTAACTTCCGAAGTTGTACGTAACTCCAGTCCTAGCTCCCAAGCTGTTTAAATTGCAATCCTTTGCACATTTATTCGAATTAGCAACCCAATGAACTCAGTAGACTTACTTCCAAGGAGAGAACGGGGAAATGGGCTGTTTAAGTTGTGGGGGAATCGTAGGCATGCGGTTTAGAAGAACACCCTAGGACACCCTGAATCTCAAATGAGCACACCACTTTTTTGCCAGTGATACGCTACAAAGGGACGGTGTGTCTTCCGAAGCAGAAAAGTGAGTCGAGTAAACCGTAGTTCAATTAATAAGTAACGAAGCCCAGCTAATGGGTTCCCCTTCTATAAATTTCGCTGGGATCGGCCCCATGCCTGTTTTAGGATTGCCGTGTTGCTTGAAAGTACAACGGTCACCAATATAATTTCTCTGCCTGGACTGTCCCTATGCTAGTTTTGAGTCTATTCCCAGCTGGCTCGAATGCTTCCCTTGCTAAGAATAATGGCTCAAGAGCCCGACGCGTTGCATCCGGAGAAATGAAAGTGCTCCCTCTTCCCCGCAACCGCCCTCTCCCCTTCAACGAACAGCAGCGCTCCCTCCTTTCCTGAACTGCGTGCCTCGAAATATCTCTGGAAAATGGGACCACCTCTCTTTTGCCCCGAAACCCGGTGAGTTGCAGCTCCCTGCGTCTCTGTCTGCTAAACGGATCCACGCAGCAGTCATGCCCTATGCCTTGGATTTCAAGGAATTACAGCTGTGTTCGCAACTGCCGCGCATCTGTCCTTGTTTCCCACTTGTATTTTCCAGTCCGACCCGTTCAAAGCATGAATTAGCCAAGTTGTCTTGGGGCGCTAAATTACTCCCAAGCAATCCAGCATTAAAGGCTCACGGAGACTGCTTCCTAACTGGCCCTTTTAATGGGACTTCAGCCTCAACCTGACTTCTCGGAATCGCTCCGCCTTCCGTAATGGGGCATCTGCAGCCACAGGGACTGCCTTTCATTGCAAAGGGTCCCCGGATGGAGGGGAATCCTCTACCTGCAGAATGAAGTCTAAAAGCAAAATGTTTTAATTGCCATGAATCGGGCTTGTTATTTAGCCCTTGGAAGAGAGGAAAGGAGACACGGACTGAAATCGACCGGTTCTTCCTTTCTCCCCGGAGAAACTAGAGGTTTCCAAGGATGAATTGTCTCAAATCTGTGTCGTTTTGACTTCCACAGGAATCACTCTCTCAAGGTGCTTACTTCTAGGGCGCTCAGTCTCCAGTGGCCGGGCTTGAAAGACCTAGCAAGAAAGCTTAGAGATTTCGGGGGCCACATTTCCTTTTCAGTAAGGGAAACCCACCCTTGCAAATTACAAATGCCTTGATGATGCACTTCAGCCTGAGTACTCGCAAGGAAACTGGCTTTCACCAATAGCTTGAATCGACCTCTCTCAGTTAAAGCAGTTTTTAAAAATCCTATTCACTTAATTAGGAAGCATGTGTTTTATGACTGCAAGCCAATGCCTACGTAAGAGGAAGTCCATCAAACACATCGACTGTGTTCACACATCATTGTAACCAGTGATTTCCTTTAACCCTGGTTTGTTGACTAAATATTTGACTAGATTCACATATATTAAGTTCTAAAACTATGGTTTGTAAAATACAATGGCTGTGTTCAACCATTGAATCTGCTGAACCACATTATAGTGGTGTGAACCCACCAATGAGGGATTTTAATTTTTTTATTTTTTTGCCAGTGAAATAGGGCTAAAATCCTGCAAATCTCACCCACTGAAATGAGTGGGCCATCCTTTGAATAGCACAAGGCAGCTAACTCAGACTCTGAGTGCAAGGAAAGGCACATGCATTGTTTGTTATTCATTTTATACTTTACCACCAGGTTTGGGTGAAAGCCCTTGCAAGATTTATAGATTATCTGCCTTGGCACTTCACCTTGCCAAAGTAGCAGGCTGGGCTTTGGATACAATGCACTGAGTTGGGTGGATGAGCTATTTATTGCTCTGCCTCAGGCAACAAAATGCATCAGGCTGGTCTTTAAGAGTTGCGCAAAGTCCCCCTGCACTGGTAGATGGCTGCAGCCTTAATTCAGCCTGGTGGAGTTGGTTCCTTTCAGATTACACAGACCTCACAATGGAGCTTCCCTTTCAGAGCCAAGCAGGAGGCGGATCTCACTTGTCAGAATAATGCCAGGCTTACTGGCTTTAGTAAACAGATCACCAAAAGTTAAATTCTGGTATGAAGTAGGATCTGCCAGAACTCCCCTTGTTCAGGCATCTTTGACTTTCCTTATATGGGCAGGAAGGCCTCTGGAGGAGGAAAACTAGGATAAAGCCCCCCCTTGCCCCCTCAGGAAGAATTGCAGCCAGCCAGCCTCTTGCATTTCATCCCCAATCCTTTGAAGAGGTCAGTGGCAGAAATGGAAGGTCTCTGGCCAATTGCGCATGTCCAGCTAGTTGGAGAAGTTAGTTCATCTGGGTGGCAGGAGTTCTTCAGGGATGCTTGATATGTCCTGTTCAGTGGGTAAGAATCACATTCTCCAATGCAATTTGATGGGATCAGTATTGTGGCAGTCTGCAACACTTAACCCAAAATTATTGTGTCCCAAATGGGGATGTTTCTGGACCTGCATTTAATCCATTACATGGACAGAAATAATGGGACAAATATTACCTTTGCTATTCTGAAAACATCACAGTTTGGGCAGGATCACCAAATGCCACTGAGCAGTGGGCTTTAGCCTTTTAATAGGTGTGCAAAAGGTATCTTGCTTAAGACTGGAGTCTTCCCCATATATTTGGACTACAGTTCCCAGGATCCCCAGCCAGCAACTGACCATGTTGCAACTATCATCTAAACATCTTGGAGGGATACCAGTTGGGTACAACTTGAAATGCTATACCTTTGCTAAACTTCCCACTTTCCCACC